TGATAGTTCTAGAAACGTGGCGTCACTGTAGTCATGTGATCTCGATGACGCAACAATAATATAAAAACTAGGCGATTGTTCAAATTATTACTAAATTTTGACTATAAATATATTTTATATTTGACTATAAATGAAATATATTTTTGCTTGCAGGCAGTGTTCACAGTTTGGGTCAAGTGGCCACTGTGTTGCCAGGGTTATTGTTTCATTAGCCAAAACCAAGCATTATCCACCTAACCAACACTGAATGCTACATGAATGACCTTCAAAATTAGTACAGCGAGAAGAATTAGAAAGCAAGAAACAAAGAGTAGTACAATAACACAAAAATAGTTGACGAGTTATTCTCGACAAGGGGGAACTAAATATACAAAACTGAATAATAAAAGAGTGAAAAAGGAAGTAAACGTTTGTTAGTTTGTAGATTTAATAGATATTTGTTGTTACTTTATTAACGTTTCTATACTTATGCTGTGAGCTGCTGCTGTGATTTGTCCTTGTTTATGAATTCCTTGAGAGAGAAAGGGAGCCCGGCGAGAATGTTTCAATGGGGGCCCGTGCTGGCTTTCGATGCTCCTCGTCAAAAATTTCTGGGCAAGTACTACTACCCCCGCCCTATTGTATACCCTAACCTCACATTTCAGAGCTAATTTAAATAAATATATCTGCGAAATCAAACTTCACCAACAAAGAGGCAGAAAAGTGCAGTCGAACGTCGATAAATTCCTTTGTGAGCCAATCAAAATTAAGATCTTTCATGAAATGAATTCGTGGCGTATTCATAGCACAATGATTGGTAAAAAAAATCAGTTAAATTTACAGCTTGTTATATATAGAAAAGCCAGTGCGTGTCGGTGACTCGATGTTCAACAATGGCTTTTATGTATTGTTGCTTAGCAACAAAAGTATAACCTAATATTGTTGTTAGTCTAAGTACTGAAAGTATAAAATGAAATGTATAAAGAACAAAACTGGTGAAAATATTTGCTCATTTCTTAATTTAGAATTTCAGCTGATTAAAGAAGTTTGTTTTTAAGAAAAACGTTGGTGATATAACAGAAAATAGCT